GTGATGGGTTTACGCACTTTGGTTTTCATCTTGCTCCACTCTGCAGTTTTTTGGGATTTTTTTTTTTTCCTCAGGGGCAATCCAAGAAAATGTGAACAATCAATACAGACTGATGGGAATCATCGATCATGAACTTAATGGACGATGATGGTGTTAGGCTGCTTGCCCGCAATGAGGGTATACGAGAAGCTCTGTGAGGGGATCAAAACTTTCAAAAGGGATCGCGTTTACATTCTTTTAAAAAGTTAAAGTCTTGGTGTGCTAATATTGGCGCTATGGCAACACTCTAAATGTCACAAGGCCAAAGTGATTAAAACTAATACCTGCAGCAAAGTAAGGACACCAGCGGCACTCTCCCCTCTCCCTCAAGGTTGCTTCACCCATAACGGGGCTCCACATTGCCAAGTTTGACAGAGCATTGCTTTGCCTTTTTTTAATGGACGTTAAAATGGCCACCGTGAGAGCAAGCGCCAAAGACATTATTCACTGGCAAATTGGCTGCCACATTGCTGGTCATGGCCCCTCCCATGATGGCCATGATTGGCCACAGAGATGACCTTGTGAATAATTGATAATTGGATTTTTTTTTTTGTCCTCCCCCAGACCAGTCAGTTTGCCGCAATGAATTTGCGGGGGAAAATCACGTGGGTTCATTTCAAAGTTAGTTTGAAGCTCTAGATTGGTAGGTCTTGTCACTTCAACCTCCTTTGCACTACCAGGGAAAACGGTTTAAGCATCTTATACTCTTTGCAAGTGAACAAATAAAGCGTAGGACCAAATCCAAAAGCAATTCCGTGAGTCAGTTCATAATGGAAGGAATGTTTATATAAATGAACGTTAATGGTGTCATCTCAGCATATTTATGTTCAACATGTAAAGCAAGAAAGGCCTTTGGCGTGAGGCGAATGCCTTGTCTAATAACGCACACAGCGTAAGTCGTTGGCAGCAAATTGAACTCACGGCTTTCTGCGTGCTCTCTGGGAGACAATAATTCTTCGTTAGATTCCCGCACATCAGCGCAAAATGATGCGATTGATGGAAGCATACACTAGCTGGATGGGATTTATGTGACGCCGTCTTCTTTTGGGCACGCTCCAAAGACAAAACAAAGAAATCATCGCTAGTTAGGAGGCGAGCGATGTGTCGTAATTTCTGAATTTGATGTTTTTATGAGGTTTATTCCAGCAGATGCGGAGGCAAAAATGCCATTAATGGGTTTTGGCTATTACACATTGAAAGTTGAGTGGGGAAAGTTGAGTTCCTGTAACTTTGGCTTCAACTGAGATACATGAACAAAATCTAAGAGTGGGAGTCAAGAGAAGGGCAGCACCGTCAGTTCAAATGAGATAAAAATTGGACGCTTGTTCTAAGCAAAACAAACAAAAATAAAAAGCTCCCGTAAAGTGTTGTGGCTTCCGAAGTATTACATCACCTTCGGAGGAGAGGGAGAAACATGTTGATGACTTTTTGACGGATGGCACTTTCAGGATCCATCCCATCTGATGACGGATGACAGCGAGATCATAAAAGAGTCAGCTGCAAAGTGTTGGCTCAGGGCTTTGAGAGAAACATCCTCCTGCGACTAGAAACGGGCTGATGGGCTTGGTGCAAATCAACTGAGGTCACTGGAGCATGTCGAGTCACCATACTTGCACAAAGATGACAAAATGTGCAGACGAACGCGCGCTGTTGTCGCATGCTTGAAGTGTGGAAAGGCGTCTTCAAAAAAGTGTCACAACAACCTGTTGCGGGACCACAATGGAATAATCGCCACAGCGCATGCGTAGGCTGCTTCCTGCTGGGAATCAGGATACATTTGTCACTGTGTCATTTTGTACAGAAAGTATTAAAATCTGCACGACGGCGCATGATATGCTGCTTGCTGCTGAGGATCACGACCTCGGGTACCCAAGTCCCCGGTCCTATCCAGCCTGTTTTCGATGTCTCCCTCCGTCACGACACCTGGTTCAAAGGATCAGCTCCTCAGCAGGCTTTTTCAGAAGCCTGATAATGATCAGGCAAATCGAACAGAGAGGCAAATCTTTGAAAACATGTCAGCGCCGGTCAGCTCAGAGATGGATGCACTCAAAAATGGGCTATTCGAACAAGCGTGCGCGAGAGGCAACGCTGCTGACCGTGGCTAAAAACTCGAACAGGAGGGGCGGGGTGGAGAGTTTAATTCCATTAAGTTAGCCCGCAAATGAGGACGACGTCTTCCTTTAAAATGCACGGCTTCAACGTGACGGGCGGATAAGCAATCAAATGATATGTGGGTCAAGAGGTCAGTGGAGGGGAGTATAGAGAGGTGCAGATGACATTGAATTTGAGCTTTGGGCCCTTGTCACTTATATGGCTTCGAAAGTCATTACAAGGAGTGATTGGAGCCCCCCCGTCAAGGACACTTGGATGTGAGGAAGGGTGGAGAGGTGACGTCGAACAGCGTGCACTCGCTTGCACACTCACACAGAAGCCTTTAGTACAAACGAGGTTTAGCTCTTGGTGGATATTCTTTGACTTCTCTTCACAGCCTTTGCTGGAGCTGCTCCTTCTTTTGGGATAAATGTTAGGAAAAGGCAAATATTGTACAAGATTTTCCTCTGAATGGTCACCTACCTTCCGCAAGAATCAAAATTCAAGATCCAGCGCGAGATCCAAGAGCTAGTTCCGACGTTCTTTACAAAGTTATTGACAAATATGTGGTCATGGATGACCACAAAATATCCATCCGCCCATTCTCTATTCCACTTATCCTCATTGTGGTTGCGGGCGTGCTGGAGCCGAACCACAATAACGCGACAGAGATTGTCTTCGGTTGCATTATTCGTCATGAAGGCAAGATGTTTAACCGGCGCTTGTATATGGCACTGGCATCGACGATAAATTATAAGATGCTTTTTTTTTTTTAAACAAAGATGTAATTTCCAGACCAATAACATGCTCGTGATATCTGATGATCTCCTTCAGCACGGTGGTTGGGAATCACTGGTCAATGAAATGCATGGCAGTGACTGTGACCCGAAGGCCTCGACTGGATCTCATCTACCCATGTGACAGGCTGTCCTGCCAAGTCCTTAGGGTTGAGTGCATCCTGGGACTGCATAAAAGGGGAGACAGAGCTCCCGTGTGGACACTGTTGAAATTTGAGCCTTCCCTTAATAGCTGTTGAGGAAGAATAACGCCCTTTGCTAACATCTTGTGACCAGAATTTGAAATGCAACTTGACTGTCATTCACGATAAGCGCTTCAAGAGCGACAGATTCGATTCATCCAGGGAAAATAGTCACTATGGATATGATTAATTATTTGAGGTGTTAAACGTTCAAGTCTGATGTTTAAAAATCAGTTCGAAATTCAAATGTAAATACAGAGGGGTAAAAATATCGTACTGCACAAACATATCCGACTGAAAGGCTGAGCAAAATGTATATGCATGGAAAAAAAGGGTCAGTGCTGACATCGTAGGGCAGTTATTGAATAAAATTATTCAATCCAAACAAAAATAATGAAAGCATTGTTTTGTACCTGCAATTAAATGTCAGTCGGACTAATACTTTCGATTGTTCTCAACACTTAACTTTTATTTTTAATTCACAAGTTATATTGTATCTGATAGGATACATTTATATTACCAAAATTATTGAAAAAAAACATAAATAGAGCAAACTTTATATATACTTTTTTTTACATATTACTTTTAAAGGTTATTTAGTTGTAAAAAAGTACAACCAAACTTAAAATAGAACCGGCAACATTCAACGCAACATTTTCACACTCTGCAAAGTATTTTTGAAAACAAGCCATGGGCACATTGGAATTAAAAGGAACCATAAACAACATTTTGTTCTGTGTTAATTACAAACGATCTGATCTTGAATACCAAAATACCCAGGGAACGTCCCCATACTGAAAATTTGCCAAAAAAAAGTTAATTAAATAAAAGGATACAGAGTACTTGTAAAAAGGCAACATTGGCAAAAGCGTACTGTATAAGTGCATTTCGACAAAAATAAAGACATTTGTAATATTCAAAACGATACAAATGTGTGAAAATATGGAGTGCTGGCCTGGTTGATGAATATGAACACTTTTTTTTTTTTTTTTTTTTTGAGCCAAGCCCCGTCAAGCTATTCATTCCATTGGCGGAAACGTTTAAAAAACCGCTTTGTGATCCAATGTCGG